ACAATGCAAACAACTGCTACTAGTACTACTACCGTTAATTCCTTAATACGACTACTACTACTACTTCTTCCTAAATTACTATAATATCAACCACTACCGGTACTACGTCTACTACTATTCGAACAAATATTGCTGATACTAATACTATCGCAACAACAACTAGTACTAGTACGACTAGTGCTAACACCAGAACTACTACTTCTGCTTCTATTACAACAGCACCAACTACTACTATTCCCACTGCGAGTAAAACAACATTAACAGAAACAACTGTTACAAGCGTTATTACATATTGTTGTCCTCCTATATTTATTAGGTTAAGCTTCAGATTTGTCCTTCCGCGTTGCTCTTCCTCCTGCGTCCGTCACTACTAATACTAATTCCACTAATAATGTCATTACTTGTATCATTATGTATACTGCTGCTGCTACTTCTACCTTTATAACATCAAATACGAATCCTACTATAATTTTAACCACTACAACTATTACTACTACTGTTAACACTACTAAGGGTACTATTGTTACTATTCTGAATACTAGTACTATTATCAAAACTACTACTGGTATCAACACTATTATTTTACTACTATCAATACTACAAGTACTAGCGCTTAAATTGCTCTAACGGGAACGACCGATACTGCGAGTACTGTTGCTACTACTACTGCTACTCCTGGTGCTATTATTACTTCTACTGATACTTCTACTCCACCCACTATTATAACAACAGCTACTGCTCCCATTATAACTGCTACTGCTTCTGTTATTATTACACCAACAACTGCTACGACTAATACTGCTTTTAGTACTTCTACTACGGCTTTTAGTAGTACTATAACAAATTTTACTATAACAACAGAACTGACTGCCCGTACTGTTACCACTACGATTACAAAAACAACAACTAATAGAACGATTTCATATTTTTGTACTCCTACATTAATCAGGATGAGCTTCGTGTCGCCAAAGAGGTGGGCGTACGTCTCAACAACGAGCTGGATGCTTTGGAGGAGAAGAGACATTTCTATGAGAATGAGAATCAACAGCTCAAGGACGAACTTCAGGTCTGTCAAAATCGCCGCATCACGTCAGAAAATGAGCTCGACCGGCTTCGACTAGAGGTGAGAGAGCGAATTTGTTTGACCAAGTATACATCTGGAATGCCTAGCTTAGGACTGTGCCCATATTTTAATAGATTTTATGGGGTCTAATTTTGAGTGTTCGGCGGTCTCTTTATCACCAG